TTTTTATTTTATAGAAAAAAATTATAAAATATAATATATTTATATTAGAATTTCTATTTTTATTAGTATTTGGATAAAAAATTATAATATATTTTATAAATATTTATTGACATAAGATTGTATATATGTGGTTATAAATAACTACCAAGGTCTAAAACTTTATATAAGTATTTTGCAATAATTAATCTTAAAAATCCAATTATATCATTGTAAGTTCAACCTTGAGTAGAAATTATTATGAAAATTTAACAAAAAATAAATATAAGCAATAAAAAAATCAATATTCTTGACTGAAGATATAATTTATCTATATTAGCTTTAGCTTGGAGCTTTTATTTATACAATTTATCTTTTGGTATCTAGACAATAACCATAGCAAAGACATTGATGAAGACCAAAGTTTTTTGACATTGTAATAGGATGTCAAAATTTAAAATTTAACTTTGATAGAAGAGTTTAATTAAATTTTAACATATTAAGTTTTTTTAATTATAAATATATTCTAATATTAAATTTATTTTATTTTATAATTACATCTATAATGTAATAAATACATACCTATTTAAGAAGTATTTAAAAAATTAGATGTTAGATAACAATAAAATTAATATTTTAATAATAGGATATATTGATCCATAAAAGTATTTATCCTTTCATTCTTTGCTTTTATATTCACTAATAATTACTTTTATTAAAGATTTTAGGATTTAAAATCTAAATTTATTTATTTATTTTATACTATATAAAATATTTTAATGATTTTATGTTATATGCTACATAGAGATTTTATTTTGAAAGAATGAAATGATGTTTGAGAAGCTAATATATATATATATATATATATATATATATATATTAAAAATAACAAAACAAAAAATAAGGTACAAGGAAGTGAACAATACTAGTAATGGTTATTAGACATCTTATGTTGTTTAAAAGTATAGTCTTTTATCTACTTTCATAACTACTATGTTATTAAATATTATTCTATTATTAATATGAGGTTGTCATTGAAGTATGTTCAAAGAAGTGACTATATAGATAAGAGAAGCATTAGAAAATACAAGGCTTTGTGACCATTTTTTTCTATTGAATACAAGAAAGTTTGTAGCAACAAACATTTTGAAAGTAATTATTTAACATCCTTTTTATAACCATTTATTGTCTACTGACATGTTTGCCTATTCTAATCCTAGACAACTTTCAATTATATTATATCAAATAGTTCGCCAACTTTTTATGGCATGTTGTAGACCTACAATAGTTCTAATTATTCTTTATTAGTTTAACTATGGTATCTTTACTACTTGTATGGAATATTTAATCTATCATTGACTATTAGACTTGAATTGCTTTAAAGACATTTATTTATTATAGCAATACTAGATAAAATCAATAAAATTAATTTTTAGTACAATTGCTTCTATAATCTCAAATCCAACACCATCACTCGTTTATTTTTTGCACACCTTTTATCAATTAATTTGATATATTTTCAAAAAACATAAATTACATCAAAATTCTAAAATAAAACTACATTCTTACATCATCAAAAAAAGTAAATAACTAAAAGATAGATTTAGAATGAAAACTATAATAACTGTTGCCAAATGCAAAAGAATCAAGAACATTTGAACCAAGATAAAACAAAAGAAAGACATTGATAAGATTAAAGAAGGTATCATTCTTATCTCTATATATACTATTAATTAAAGAACTATGTGCCAATATAATATATGTCATATGACATATATCCAACTTATGGGACATATATCTAATTTGTAAGGCAAATAATTGATATGTATGTTAGATTACTAATTTATAATTCAAATGATTAAATGTACATCATATAGTCAACTTGTTGAAAAAGTTGTCTACATATTAATTATTTATATAGATGTATAAAATCTATATAGTTCTAAAATATCTATTTATTATATATGTAATTATCTATACTTTCTCCTCTTTGATTTTGAAAAAAAAAAAGATAAAGAAAAAAGAAATTGATTATATTTGGACATTAAATAGGATTACAACATTGTTCATAGATAGTTTTACTTCTTAAATCATTTTAATTGATAGAAAGCTTGCACATATGGCTATTGTATAATTATTTATTTATTTATTTCCTATAATTATAATTTTTTGACATATGGCATGTCAACCAAAAAACATCATTTTACATTGAAAATAAGATTTTTTTTTTCATATATTTTTTTCAAAAGATTAGATGATATTCACATAGTATTAAAATATTATTATTGCTAATCATTAATTTGAGATTTTTGAATGTAATTAGGAGGAGTTTCTACAATAACGTATCAACAACCTTGATTTCTTTAAAGAAACATTTTGTCAATATGTACTCCTTTCAATACCTTCATTTTAAGAACATCAACATATCACATGTTGAAGATAGTCATGCATCATTAAAGAAGTAGTTATGAAGGACTTCTATGATATATAGAAGAACATAACAATATATATAGAGCATCAAAAGAGGAAATTACATGCCTAGATTAAAAATAAAAAGATGTGGATTTGGCTTGATATAGAAATGAGTTTCTATGACCAAGTAATAATCAAAATCTTGAGGTTTGCTTTAATGAAGCTTCATAGATTAGCATTTGCATTGGAGAAAGATAATGTTAATAAAATAGTTTTTATTACATAGTTCACAATAATACTTGGATTGCCATGCAAGTATTGGCTTTATGAAAGACCTAGAATAAATTGTATTATGGATGTAAATGACTTTTATTCATACTAGTATATTAATTCTCCTCCTTCATTACTTCTTCTACCACATCAAATAACTTTGCAATAAATTCCAAATATTTTGTTAGTAATCCAATAACTTTATGTATTTTTTCCTTCCCTCAATCCAAATTAACAACTTGTAACATAATTAATATTGATGGAATGTGAATCTCAAAAGTTTTGAAGTCCAAATGATTTCATCAAATAACATACTAAATAATATCCATCTAATGCACTTAATATGAAGGACATGAATTATAAACAACCAAAATATCAATACATTTTCCTGTCATTAAAAAAAATAGATATTTACTCAAAGATAGTATAATATTAAAACTATAATATTGCTTAAGACAAAAAGATTATAGATTCTTGAAATAAGACTAAGACAAAAAAGGCATTGACAAGAATGAAGGAAATTTCATTCTTACTTCTATATATATCATCTAAATAGGAGCTACATGGTAACATTCTCTAGGACCTTTGATATGTGTCCGACTTATAAGACACATATCTAACTTACGAGACAAATTTCAATACATGCACCACATGACCAATTTGTACTACAAGTGACTAATATGTGCAACACATTGCCAATTTGTTGGCTATATTTTCAACCTACCAATCACTCAAAGATACATATAAAGTCAAATTTACATTTGTCAAGCTTCTAAGAAGCTTGTCCATAAAATATTATATAATTTATTTATTTTTACTTAATTCTTCTAAATCCAAATAAATATGTATGTCCATGACACAACCAAAATCAATTATAACCATCTACATAATATGATTTTTGTTGTTTGAAATTGTAAGAGGACAATAGAAGAGATGTAGGAGGTGCAGGCAAGTTGGACATTATACCAAGACTTGTCTAAATATCCAAGTATTAAGTACTAGGAACTAATTGTAGATACTTAAATGTTGTAGATATTTAAAGAGTGACCATTGATTTTTAGAGAGGGTGATGCCAACATATGGTTGGAGGGTGTTAATTTAATAATTTCAGGATGTCATGTTAATAATATCCTATATATATATATATATATATATATATCATAAGAAATGTATGTTTATAATTTATTTTTAATATATAAATATGTATATGATTTGTTTAGTGACAAAAAATAACATATTAAATCTTCTTATGCATTTGATTGTATGATGAAAATGACTCCTAAAAAATTTGTATTTGTTTATATGATGAAAATGACTACTGCAAATTAATTATTTGTTAATTGAATGTCAACAATGATTGTCGGATGATGTCAATCAGTTGATCCAAAATGCTATTTTATAACCGTGTTTAACAAGATCTGTATGTTTCTAAGTTTTATCATTCTGAAATTTCATTCCCATACAAGAATTTACTTTTATAAATTTATACATTATGTTATTAAGGTTTAGTCACTTTTGCAACAGGAGTCGAAAGAAAAATACGATAGATCAAGTTTGTCAAAGTCTGGAGTGTGTAATAGCGCATAAATTAGTAGTTATTGTGGACAAGCTTGTATTACGATGGATCAATCCCATCAAGGACACAAGAGTGATATAGAATCTAGTGTGAAAGCTGTGCTTGTAAAACAATTGTCTTATGAAATCATTCGGAGAAATCTTAAATGTTACAATTCTGAAATTTACCCAGGAAACAGCAATGTAATTCATTCTCATCTTTGCCAGCAGCTCCACAGTTGTTGACGTTTAATGCATATCATAGGCTTGCAGCATCAACGTCGTGGCCATTATTGTTTTAGGACTATTCCCTGTTTGATGTCATGGCACAAGGTTCAAGTGTTCAACATCTCTTCAGATTAAAAGATAGTTGCTATACATTCTGCAAAGACAACATCTGCGATTCTATTTTCACCATGGAAAAGAAAAAACGGCTAGTTGAACTTATTCTCCTGTATCTTAATTCTGCTTTCGCACTTAGAGTCAGTGAGGACAGGTTACTCCACAAAATTCTACTCTACCAAACATTTCTTTGCAATTGATTCTACACCGACTCATAACGATAGCTTTCAACAAAAAGTTAGTTTCTTGGGTTAAGGTCTACTCAAGCACTCACTTTAAAATTTGTTCGAAAACATTGGTTAATTTTCCAGAATGATTTACATTAGACAAGGGAAGACACGAAACATCAGCTAAGCAACACGATTTTGATTCGAACTTTGTCATAATGAAGAGACTGGAACTGAATAACGACTGAAAAGTTGAACCACATTCAAATACCAACCAAATCAGTAAAACTTAAGCTTCATACAATAGCATCGCGAGGCTTATCTTATCATACATTTGCACATTCAATCACGAGGTGCATCTGAATGTCTGTTTGCACGTCTGCCACGATTGAAATAACCAAACCAGCAATTTCTTGATCGAGGATTCCAAAACATGTAAGAAAACTATCTAATATGGGCGATAAATGTAGATGCCAACTGGCTCGTACTCATTCTTCATCGCCTCGAGACGGGGTCGAAGGTGGAGACACCAGCGACGGCAACGCCGATCACTGAGATCACCACTCCTCCAGCGAGCACGCTCAGGAGCAGGTTACGAAGCGAGTCCGAGACACCGGGTTGCGCGGCTTCGGCTATCTCAGGGACAACGGCAGCGGCAACCAGGGCCAAACCAGTGAGGCTCATAACGTTGTGGTTCTCCTTGGCAGGAAGGCTGAAAATTCGTCACATGATAGACCCATGTCAGAGGTCAAGCTTCAATAACAGGACAAGCTGCGATATATCCCAATACTACCATTGTACGCAAGAGAGAGAGAGAGAGAGAGAGAGAGATCTAGTTTTTCATTACCTATAGTGATCAATAGCGACAGGGTACATGGATCATTGAGAAAATGAACACAACCGTCGCGATAGAGGTGAATAAATACAGAGTCACCAACACCTTCAATTACAAGACACTTTGAACGGTATAGTGTGCAAGTGATCTAAGTTTTTGTGATGCATCACAAATGTAGAGTATTGGTTGGATTGCCTAGGCTTGCGATGATTTTCAAATGTTTCTTTGGCAATCGTTAACTCTGTAACTGATCGGCGCCAAGGTGAAATCAGACCCAGTACTGGTTTCAGCATCAACAAATCCGAACCCACAAAAGAGGCCGTTCTTCAAGATACAAAACATAAGACCGGAGAGATTAAAATGGGTTACGCAGCGGACCTCATGGAAACGCGGTTTCCGTTGGAGATGGCAACACTGACTTGCTTCTTGCCTAAGGGGGTGGCGAGTGCAAGACCCTTGTGGCTAGGCAACTTGGCAGTGGCTCCGAGCGACATCAACGAGGCTGTGGCAGCAGCAGAGGTCATTGCAGCGCACGCCATTGCTAATCGTTGGCTAGGAAAGGTGGTAGAGAGCTGGCTATGTCGATGATAGTGAACGCGGAACTCAACTCCGGCGATACAATTGAGAACTGGGCAATGGATGCTGATAATGTTCAGGGAAAAGGCATTGAATATCCACAACAAATTTTGAAAACTCGGAAATTCACTCAAAAATATACGAACCAGGGATTTCCTTCACCACCCAATGGATGTGACTATCAGAAACGGTGGGTCACATTCATATCGCATGTTATGCCGATGACATTGGAATGGTCGACATTTTCCTGGATCCTGGTTTACGCTAATGAAAATTGGACTCACGTAGGATTTCTATTCCATCTTCAATAATTCATTGGTCGATCGTTGCACACGAATGCGCCTGAGGCCAATAAGGCGTATACGGTAGATAGTGGATGCATCCTTGTCGTCTGTTATCCTTGCAGGGGGCTAATCCACACACGATGTACAAGCAAATGTTCCTGTGGTTGGATAAGATATTTCTTTCCTGTCATCAGCCCGCTTTGAGCAAGTGCTATGTCTGTGATGCCAGCCTACCAGTTCCACACGTGCTTTTAATAGCAAAAGCCCCTTTGGAAGAAATTTGATGGAATGGCTCTCGCCGTCTTTAACACACACTACAAATGTATTCCCTATTCACACAGACAAACATTAAACGAAGTGAGGCTAGAATATTGAAATTGAGTGGAAGGAGTAACTCACAAAATTGTTGAGTAAGAAATACTTACCCAATTTTAGCGGAGCTCAGGATTGAGATGCTGTGAGCCTCGGTATTCAACACTGACACAGCACCGTCGCTCATGGTCAGGCCCTTCCATCAATCTCCCCGACTCTGTATCATCGAATTCGTGGAAACCCTCGAAAGTTTCTGCACACCCACTCTCCAAATTCTACTCCAACATTACAAAACAACCCTAGGCAGGTGCGTACCTGTATGTGACGACTGCGTCTACGAACATGTACTTCTCTCTAAAGTACTCACACTGCTGGGACCTTAGAGAATTATTGGTGTGTTCAGCATTGAGGCTTGTAGAATGCCTGTCTTTTGGTGTTGGAATTTGAATTTGAATTTGGGCAGGGAAGGTCGAGGGGTGAATAACCGCGGTGGGAGGAGAGAGGTTTAATTGATGACAGCTATGGCGACCATAGCCGTGGTGGCTCCTTCGTACGCATGCTGCGCATGTAATGTTAACACGCCGGGAATGCTGTCCCTTCATTCCCAAGTTTCGACGTCAACGTCGGCACATATGTTCAAGTCTTCTCATCAAACTTTCGGCAGCAGGACACCGCATAACAGGTTCTATTTCAACTTCATTAACTTTTCACCTTCATGAACTTGTATCTCTTCTCGGATGAAACTCCACCTCGAGAGCATGATAACCCAAGTTAGGTGTTCAACCTGGGCTAGATTCAACTACGCCACACATTTCTAACATAGAACAAAGATTGTTTCCTGTCGGTCGCGATGCCCATTTCGTCGCTTGCTACGTGACTAGAGCTAGAATTTCAACTTTTATTTAGATCCGTGCTAACAAATTCGATATACAGGGTATGTAATAGGAGCGTTCGCTTGAGCTGTGCAGATCATGGCAAGTAAATTCCAGGAGATTGAGAATCACGAGGGTACAAGCTGCCGGAGAAGAGGAAGGGGAGCCTGCGCCTAATACAAACGACACCGGCGGCGGCGAGGAGGATGACTTGGGAATGATAGGCCAAGTAGAACAGGCAGATTGGCGTGCTTTCCGTGCTCGCCTTGTGCGCTCAGGTCTCGGCACAGGGGGTCTGGACTCTGTTCAGGACGAAGAACGGGAACTGTGGGCTCACCCAATTGTTCAGCCGGAGCCGGGATGCTTGCTCATTGCACATCCGAATGCATTCACTGAGAGCCAGCAGTACTTCCACAGAGTTGTCATCTTCATCTTCGCTCACGAGTAAGTAGTATTACTTTCGTGTCGTAAGCTTGCTTTGATATACACTCCATCGATGCCGTGCGTGCTTCACTGGGCTTCTGCAACCCTACTTTGAACCAGGGAGTGGATGATGAGTACTGTCTGATACATCTAACAACATGGGTTGTTGTTGTTGGTGTGAACTTGTGTCTGCCAGCGCAGGTGGTAGTGCCGGCGTAATTCTTAATAGGTATTTCCTTCTTGACCGAAGTGCTGTTGATTTATACTCGAGAGTTTGAGGAAATTTCATTCTAGGGTTCTGTTCTCGTTACTCTCTCGATCAGCATTGAATGGTGATTACTCGGAGTGACATTCCGCAGGCCAACGCAATATTCACTCGGACAGTTGGACGAATTCAAAGATCTAATGCCGGAGTTGTCGAGCTGTCCTTTATACTTTGGTGGCGACGTAGGCCCTCAGTGCACCCAAGTCATCCATGGCATCCCTGGCCTTGAGGACAGCCGTGAAATAATGAACGGGGTTTACATGGGGGGTACGGCGAGTATCCAGGACAATATCCGAAGTGGCCAGAGCACTCCCAACGACTATCGCTGGTTTCTTCGGTTCGCAGGTAAGTTATTTTGTAGAAGGCAGCAATAATAAAGCTTAGTTTGTATGCTACTGGTTACACACACCGAACTATTTCGTTTGTTGGTGCAGGGTGGGGACCTGGACAGTTGGAGCAGGAAGTTGCCGCTGGGGTTTGGTACCTGGCTTCATGCAGCAAGAGATTCGTGCTTAAGCAGTGTATTCAACTGCCGAAGCCGCTGTGGAATGAAGTTATGGAACATATGGGTCCCCCGTACTCGGACATTGCAAGAAAAGCCAAGTAGCTATATCGATCAGATTATGCCTACTCTGACCATCAAATGCATGTACTTTCGATAAAATCCCTGCCAAGTCTCGGTACATTGCATTAGAATGCAACGTCATCTAGATTCTACACCCTTCAATACGTTGACAAGTGTGTACAGACGTGGTCGGAGAAACTGAAAGTGGAGCCCGTTACTATGAATCTGCAGACTTAACATTCAAGTCATTGCAATCTTGATTCATTCCATATATGTAGTATGATTTTCATCACTTCTTTTGGTCCATTTGGACCGGCACCGGATTTTCTCCTCAAATCTGAACCGTAAAATGAAGCCAGATCTGTCGATTGTGGAACTTCTTTCCTCCCAATTGCAGCACGTAATATTGGAGATTCTGTGGAGTCTGCTATGTGGCATCATCATCTGGGTCATAATGAGCATGCTATTGACAGACCAACACTGCAAGACTATCGTAGTGAATGAAACTGAAAGTCTAGAATTTTGTGGTCTTGCACGAATAGGGAAGCATATGGCTTAAAATCCTTAGCCGAGGTAGTGAGGCAAGAAAGTGGAGAGCTGGACTGGCTTCTCTAGATTCGGTGTATCGTTGTAACCCCATGTTTGAAGAGAGCTAAATGAAGTGCGGCTTTGTGACACATTTGTAGTCAGAGATGAGACGTAATGCATAATCCATTCATGGCCCATTATTGAATGGGCTAGTTCCTCCCTATTATACTGACCGAATTAATGGACAGAAACCAATCACGATGGTACATAAGTTTCTAGTGCAACGTAGTCCCAGTTTGTAGCGTAATCTCAGAAAGCTGAGAACACATCTTTTGATGTGTCAAACTTCTGGATACACGTTTAAGCCGAGTTGGTTGAGGACTTTGATTTAGTAGGTAGATGCCCAAAATTTGCAAATTAGACAAACCGAGGTGCATGTGGTGATAGTATCACTGCAATCATGGTCCAATTTAATCGTTGTGTTACAAATTTGTGTTCAACTTATGTTAGTGAAAAACAGCTTCTCAAATTAAATAATTAGCATCCAACTTGAAAGAGTGATCCTGAAGAAGAAAATTTGAAAAATAAAGGTGTTCATATTGAGAAATCGAGAACTAGAAACTAAATAAGTTCAAAACTGGAAGAGTTGCTTTTGCTGCCTTTGATTTCGAACAACTTTGTAATGGTGACCCAAATCATTCGAAGAAGAATGAAAAGTATTCAAAGACTATATTTCCAGATCGGGGAACGGGAATCCTTTTCAAATTCATACCAAAGGATATTGCCATCTGGTTGTGCTTCCGTGCAGTCCAATGCACAGCAGCATCGCATGTTCAAGCTCTTGGCACACACACAAACACACACACACTGACGACAAGATCAGCTGAAAAACCTGATGCAATAGCTAAGCAGCTCCCACATTGAAATCAGCCCACTGAACCAGCCGCCGCCACCACCGATTCCATCGTCCTCACCGCAAATCCCACACAGCAGGAACAGTAACTTTGAGATTATCGCCACATCTGGCTCAGAGATCTCACACTCACCCAGTTCAGCTGCATCGACAATCACGCCAACTAGAGCTCACAGACACACACTTCGCAACCATCCACAGTGTGCCACTGTCCCACCCACCCGGCCAATCCGTGTGGCTAAAACCCCACGCCAACATGAAAACTATCAGCAGCTTTATTTGCACGGGAATATTCTCGACGTTCTTCCAAATGCTCGACACCGTTTCCACCACCATTTCCAAAATAGCCTCCACATTTCTGTGCCCAAAAGCGGAAATCCTTCACCACATCGGCAGTGTGCTTCCCAACGTGTCCAGGTTCAAGGGCCTTAGCGATGGCGGAGCTTGTTATTGATACACATTCACAGTGTACCAGCACACGAATGAGGTAGAGTTTACTATGCATGAATGCATGAATGAATTAATGAATTTGTCTCTAACAATAAGATTTAGCACATGGAGTGCGGTCCCACACAAGGAGAGTTGGTGGGTGGAAAAAAGTGTAAGGAATGTGAGACCAATGACATAGTGTTATTACAAAACCCACCAAAAGATAGCATGAAATTGGTATCTTTTCTTGTTGAACCAAGTCTATTCTTATCTACAACTTCAGCTGTTCATACTAAATTTTGATTGTTATTTTAGTTCCTAGCACAACAAAGATTTGAACTAAAGTACCTCCTCTAACAATATTTTACGAATGCTAGCAGAATGTTATCGTTATTCTAGTCCGTTGTATGTCAAATAAAGTTTACATACTTTTTTAAATCTAAAATCAATCCATATTAATATTTTCAAATCTCATAAATATATATAAATATATATATATATATATATATATATATATTATGTATATATTACTGTACCACATACATGTATATCTTTGATATGTTATCTAAAGCTATATATACTGTTATTGACACATGTATCAAACATTAGAATCATTTTATAAAAAAACGAAAGCAGTACTTTTTATGTGCTAAAATTACATTCGCGAAGTTCCAACATTTCAAAAAGGTTCAAATTTGTAACTTTATTCACGAAAACTGTAATCTGATTAAAAACATCTATCATAGACATAAGTCATGAAGTAATATTCATTACTTTTGGTACATGTAATAATTCATTTCAATTATATATTTTTTAGATGCTATTATTTATAATGATATTGACAACAATGCTAATAATAACATCATTTATACATCACAATAATTAAATAGAACCATGGTTTTACTTAATAGACCCACCTTGATGAAAACCATGGTAATCATGACGAATGTGGTTGGTTTTTATTGGTTGCAAATCTAATAGTAGAAAAATGAATACAAAGTTGTTTGTTTGTTTATTTGTTTATTTATTTATTTATTGATTTATTTATTTATTTTCCTTCTGTTTGTGATAGTTAGAATAGACAAGCCTATTTGGTAAAAATTTGGGTCTATTAAGTGTTCATCTAAATAGAAACTTATTTTTATCTTTTTTCTTAGTTGTTGACTTCATGGCGTGAGAGATGGTAACTATTATACTAGCACGTTTTCATGTTTTTTTTAAATTATTTGTCAAGTATATAGTAAATCCGTTCCAATGGTTCAAAAGTAATAAAACACATTGGCGTTTTAGCATATTAAAACCCCATCATTAAGGCAAATGCTGGAGAACCTGACCACACAATAAGAGATATTAGCCCAATTTTTAGCAAAGTCAAAAATGTAAGACGTGCATTCTAAACACCACACACACGTTTAAAATAACCCAACTTTGACTATCTAATGAAGATCAGTTTATGTTGGAAAACAGGATAAAGTTGGAACATCAAAAAATAACAATGAGAGTGGAAAGCTCTCTCCATCGTGGCAACCTAGGCAGATTTGAATACGAAGCCAGGGCCGGCACGGTCGTCGAAGCTGCTTCTGGTGAGGGCTCGGCGTGATCGCTCGCGTGCGTGCGCGAGGAATCGCCATCTCGCGTTGCATTTTCACGGACCCTTTCTGCTCAATACACTTGGCACGTTATCGTTCCGGAGGTTTTTATCGCCTTCGTGGTTGTGGATTGTGGCTGTGGCCGTCCGTGGTTCGACATGATGTGGCTCCGAGGTCCAGTTGCCTTTGCGGCAAACCCTGGCTTCGAGGTATGACCATGGCGACCATCGGGATCGGCTCACTCGCCTCCCGATCTCTCGCTCCCCCTCGCGGAGCAGCACAAACCCAACTAGGGTCTCAGTTCACTTCTACCGCAGCTTTGTTGCAGGGATTGAACCCTCGGAATTGCGAGGTGACCTCGTCGTTTCGTTCCCTCAGTAGGCGTGGTTTGACCGGAGTGCGAGCTCTGATGGGCACCAGCGGCAAGCAGCAGAGAGTTGAACCGGGGCCCGGGCAGGAGTCAGTTTGGGATTATCCGCGACCCCCTTCTCTTCAGCCCGTGCCGGAGAGAATCCGCATCGAATTCAACTCCAAAACCATCGCTGATACCACTCGAGCTTACCGTGTTTTGGAGACCAGCCATCCTCCAGGTTAGGGTTATGCTCCCTGCTCCCGTTTTCGTGAGCATTTTTCGTAATTTGGGAGTCTCCCTCACTTGCCTCACGAAAATCGTGGGAGTTTGCGCGTTTCGTAATCACGCGGATGTTTGCGATGCAATGGTCTTCGCAAGGTGCTTCTGATAACGATTGACCTGCTCTCGTTTAACACTGTGCAGTTTATTATATTCCGCAAGAGGATATTCAGATGGAATTTGTTCAGAAGGCGCAAGGAAGCTCGTTCTGCGAGTGGAAAGGAAATGCTACCTATTGGACTGTGCAAGTAGAAGGTCGTGAAGCTGAAAAGGTCGGATGGAGCTACGAGAACCCCACGGCCCCATTCCGCGCCATTAAGTCCTGCATCGCCTTTTATGCCGCTCCCATGGATGCATGCTATGTCGGCGATGAACGAGCGCAGCCACAACCCGGAGGGTTCTACGGTGGCTGGATCACTTCCAAAGTGGTCGGGCCTTTCAAAGGAGGGCCTGGTTCTTGGGGATGGTAGGCTGATCAAACCTCTAAACCCTCTTTACAATCTGCGTAGGGAGCTCCTCCTCTGCCCTAACTGCACAGAGAACACATCGATTGTACATTTCTACGTGTTCTTTTTTGCGCACTGCCCGAATGAGTGTTCCCAACGCACCTGTTCAAGTATGCCTAGGTTTACAAAATTGTATTCAGCTGATATGATTTGTAAAATGGACTTCGCTGACAATTAACACGCAAGCCAGTCTTTGCAGCATTTTGATTGAGCTTTCTTGGACATCCAATTTTGCATCCTGATTCTCACCCAATGCAATCGAAAGTTTTTCTTGTCGTGCTTGTGGTCCTGATCATCGACGATAACTTTCCTTCAACCCGGGTTGACTGATTTCAAGTCTACATTGTCGTAGCTGCGATGAACAGCTTAGGCGGATTACGCTTACATGAAACGAAATCGGCCAATAAACCCTGCTATAGGATTTGACAAATTAGTAACACATGAGCTCCCGGCGATAGGCAATAGAATGCGAATGCCTATGATTTTTGGTGGACGTCTAGAACTGCAATCGTCAAGCGACTTGCAGTCAACACAACTGGCAGATCTAGCAAGCGCAAAAGCAATCAGATGAGCGGCGAAACTCGCCGCCGTCTCAAGTACATCCTCTACCCTTTCGATCGTCTTCACGTACAAGTTAAAACCCATTACCGGAAGTCATTCTAAGTGCAGATCGGGGGATGAAGATCTTGTCTGCCTGTACCGGAGGATCACTGGACGCTGCGGCTTCGTCTTCTCCACCCAACGCTCCTTTTTTTCCTTCGTTCGTTCGCTATTGTGTCCAGGTAAGTGATTCGTCGTCTTTTTCTTAAATAAATCTTCGTCCACCATCCAGAAACGACAATGTGGAACGTGTTACACAGTCCACCTTGAACTGTGAGCAAGATGTGATACTCAACAAGGCTGTTCTTCAGAGGTATGGTCACAGACGTTGTTATCTATTCATATTAGGGTTTCATCATGGTTTTGTTTCTTTTTCTACTTCCATTGTCGCTGTTGATATGGGTAGAACATCCAAACTTGCTTATTTCCACAGCATTGATATAGGCATGCTTTTCGTCCTTTTTCCTTTTTTCCTTTTCTTCTGTTTTAGTGTCAAATTGACAACAAAACTGTTGCGAGAGGAAAGTCAGCTCTCATTCAGGTTGCAAAGCTCACTTTTGGAATTAACGTGAGAATACGTTGAACCGTGTCAGGCCCTTGGACCAACTCGTAGACCTTGTCAGAAACCGCGCTTGTGCAAACCCAAAACCGCTTTGAAGAATGTAGAAAGATTCCGAATGGATTCCAAGTCCACCAATGATCGGCAGATTTTACAACGACGAAGGCGGTAGTTTTTGTGCGATGGAGGTGGACGGTTTCGCTGAAGTCTACGACTCTGTTCAGGGGTGGAATGCAAAAACTAATTTGATAATTTTTATCAATTCAACCACTGCGGCGATTCAATCTTTTTCTTCTGCAGCACATCAGAACCTTATTTCTTCACCCAAAAAAATCTTTTTCCGGACACCCCCCCCCCCCCGAGATAGGTGAAAAATCTTAAGATGACCGTTCAAGGTATTCCTACGTTATATTTATTGGGTTTGATTTTGGGACCACCGCCACCACCATCTTATTACATGTAAGAAAGGGCACGGCCCAGGTGGGTAAAGGGTGTGATTTGATGTACCAACAGCATTGAGAAAATATTTGGGTGTTTGTACTAAGGAAAAACTTACTTGTACGTCAAGTACCACTTTTGATGTGCCTTGAGTACCTATGACAATATTATTGGCCATGAGTTAGGTTAGGACATTCAGAGACACAACTCAAAATGCTGTCTTTTTCCCAAAAACCCCGAGATGTCTTTAGTTTTGGAATTCAATAAATACGTATATGTATGTACTGGAACAGAACCGTAACTTGATGTTTGTTGAGATCAGTTGCCAAATCTGCACCAAAAAACACACACACACACACACATTTTGAAATGACGGTAGACTGAATTGGATCGACGTTCTCAATTCAAATTTTAATCTCAAATCCAAACCTAGTTCCGTCAGATCATTTACTCACAGGAATTGAATTTGAGTTGCATCTACAGCATGATCAAAGAAATTGGATAAAGTAGAAGGGTAAAGTTTGTGAGTTAAGAGTCAAACGAATAATAGAGCAACATTGTAAAGTCTAAGTCTTTTTTGTTTTTTTGTTTTTGTTTACTTTTGTTTGAAGGAATTTTGTGGGTTTTGCATGGTCTTCAAGTGTGGTTTCAATGAATGGGGAGTAGATTCCATGCTGATCCAGACACGCCACCCAACACTTTCTAGTAATGCGAAAATTTTGATTTTGAAAGCACGTCTTACCAATAGCATGCTTTTTGAAATACTTTAGTGCTTTTTCAATAATTCGTTGTCGTTAATCTTTATTTATCATTTATATGTATATATGTACACATTTCATGGATCCAAACACATAGAAGCACGTCGAGGTTCCATTAAGAGTCTTTCGAATGTTCCACTTAATACTACCCATTTTTTCTCACTCATGAAAATAAAACAAAAATATAAAAAATGCAAAAAAATAATGGGCGACGATGGTGGCATGTTTTGCCATGGTAAAGATATTTCTTCAATGGCACAACAATTGGACAAAATACGTCAACTATTTCTATTTAATTTGGAAAAAGAAAGCTAGGCACGTACACAAAAAAAGCAAACAAACCCAGAAAGTAAAACGTTAAGGTCGTGGAAAGTTGCTGCAACCTTAAAAAGTAAAAGTCCGTCCTCGCCGCAACAGTAACAGAATGGAATCGTTTCTCTGAATGCATATCTATTTAAGCCCGGGTATTGAGCTCGAACAAGAACATCCTCGTTCACACCTACATCTCGAACCAAAAATATCCTCTTGCCCTATGCTGGTTTCACACTGGGTTCGGCCAGCGGGCTCTCCGTGTGAATGGGGCTTAGTGTGCCTATCGGAGCCTCATCCTCAGTTTCGCTTTACAGACTCACCATTGGATGTAATTCATCTATCCGTACCACCCGCGGTTGATGAATGTCGCGACGAAACATTGGATGACGTTTTCACCATTCATTCATTTGCAGGACAAAAGGACCCCTAGAGCCTTGTTAACGATATCACAAAGATTCAAAGCTAATCATTGGATGGTTGAACATGCAAAAACAAAGATTAAAGAAACTGCTGTTTATAACTTTTAATGTTTTTATTATTATAAAATATTTAATTTTTTCTTAAGGGAATTATTTTCATATGTTCACCATGGAGTGTGTTTCAACCTCTAGCCCTCGAATTGACTTTTGATACCCTTGAAAAACAAGGCTCTCCAGTATACCTACACCATAGGCTTTCTAATATACCTACACTCATTTCGAAGGAAAAGCAGCAAAGCTATAAAAATTATAAAAAAAAAAAAAAAAAAAAAAAAAAACTAAACTAAAGTTGGAAATTGTCTCAGTGGTTATTAGTATAGTCTATCACGTTGCAAATTCCATGTTCAATCCTCATGGAATTCTACCAGTAGCGAAATATTATTAAATTGATTCCAACCTCTACTTATGTTTAAATGATAAAATCCATGAATTCAATCTTCTCTTTTGTTTAAAATAATGGGGTTTGTTTCAAATTCACAAAACAAGATCATGGTTTGGTGGCCTTTTAGAGGTGCAAAAGAATTGAGACCAAATTCTAAGTTTGGTTAACCTATAATTGTTAATATTATTACATTAGCTTGTATGATGTAAACAATATACTCTATTCATTGTTTTGTGCTCTATTTTTGTATCGGTATATATTACTGTGAGTTCTATTTGTGTTTTACTCTAAGCAATGCTTTCAAAAGTATATAATAAGTGTCGAATGTAAAAACCCACCGTGAACAAAACCCATAAAGTGTCAAAGTAATGATTTAAATAGCATTCACATTAGTTCCACGATAATAATTGCACATGCCATTTGTTTATTTGCCAAGTTTTAAAAGGCACCTGGGTTTGAATGAACAGTCACAAGGAAATAATTAATTTGATCAACTTCCAATAAGTGCAAACATTCCTTCAATAATAATTAATCCGTTGTTTATTTATATCATATATTTTTATCTACATGTTTACAATGTCATGGTTGATGCATATGCGCGCGCACACCCACACACGCACACACACACACACATATATATATATATATATATATTTACCCAATTTGAAACAGTAGACCTATTCAAACTCCGACATGCCTTGAATTTCCAGCCTCGGGCGCACAGGCAACCCAGCTCTCAAATTGCTTTGCCCCCCACCATAGTGAACAAAACCAAAACCAAAACCAAAACGAAAGCCACAGACGTAGAAGATTTGGAATTAGGTCTGCGAGGATTGTGAATTCGAAGACGAAGAAAGTCGAACACAAAAGCGAGAGGAGAAGGAAGGCGACGACGAAGGAGTAGAAGAAATGGAAGAGAAAAGTGGGTGATCCGCAGCCCACAGCTAAATCCGCAATAGGCTGGGAGTACCGTTCACCATTAATCCGTGGGTGCCGGATCCGGGAAGCTCGCAGGGGTTTCAGGGGATTCGGGGGGTGCAGAGGAAGCTGGGGGGGAGCGGAGACAAGGGAGCTGCTGCGATGTTCGGGTGAGATGGGCTTGGGGAGGCTCCAATTAGGGTCCCACAGCTCGCAGAGAATCTGGCAATCGGCACTCACAGTAACCAATGCCCCCCCCCCTCTCACAGACTCGTGGCGCAAGTCAAAGGTGTAGAAGTAGGAGGAGAAGGAGTGTGTATGAGCTGTCAGGTGCAGATGAGGATTCTGTGGTATTGGTGGGGCCTCGACCTCCACGCCCATTTCATGGAACTGTTGTGCTTTTGTGTGAGCACCTTCAGTCTTGTGACACCTTGGAGAAGCTACTGCAAATAATATTCTCATTCACATCTCTCTATGCACCTATATATATATATATATTCTTATAAATATACGCTAAAAGTTTAGGAGTTTGTTTGTTTGTGTTTTATTTCCAACGTTGCGTGGAATTTCGAAGCTAGAATTCGTCTTGGCAGGGGAAAACGGTGAAGATAAGAGGTCACGTAGAACTGAAGGGAACAGAGAAAGTGTGATCACATCAGCTTGGACGTGGTAATGTTTTCTGTTTTTGGGTTGATCGGTTGTGCGGGTCAACGAGACTGCAGCCTGCAGCTTGCAGTCGCCATCGGCTCATTCATGAAGTTCTACGTTCATGGATATATTTTTACAAGCTGGGGAGGCTGAATCTATGCTGCGGCACGAATGTAGCTCCTGCGAGTCTACGAATGACGTGGTTATTCTTGACTTGAGAACGCCTCCGAGGCTCGCGCGAGGGGGGATCAAGTTGGATGTGAGGATACAGAGAATGTGGATGTTAAATACACGTAGATACGAATCGCGTGATCTATGACCTCAACCGCGTTGCAATCAACGCGTCGCAAGCGGGGTAGGGAGGGTGGAGGACCTGCCGATTGGGAGAGCCGCCCAGCGCTGCCAATACGAGACTCGGCTGCGAAGTCTGCGAGAGGGAGTCAGTCGTCGCCACTCCACTAATAGTCCCCCCTCCCGCACTCTCGCCGAGCTGCGCCCGTACCGCTGCTCTCGCAGAGCTGCAGCGTTTTAATATCAATTTCCGCTTTTAGGACAGCTCCGCAGGGACGGAGATCACTCGAAACACAGGGGGGAAGCAAGTCGGGAGGTCGGGAGATGAGGTAGTTTATTGGATGCGCGGTTGGGAAGAGTTGTGGGAGGCTGTGGTGAGTGATACGGGGCAGTGGAACGGGAAAGTGAGTAAGAGGGAGTTGCCGAAGGTGGCCGAGGGTAGGCCATTCTTTTCATTTTTTGGATACTCGGGTGTTTGCGAGGGTTTGTGATGATTTTTGGGAGGGTTACTCGGTATTTGCGTTATTAATTCGTATGTTTGAGATCTAGAGTCGTGATTGCTGTAAGGATCAGATCTGAGGAGGGAGAGAGAGAGAGGGATAGAGAGAGGGAGAGAGAGAGGGATAGCGAGAGGGCGGAGGTGCATAGGTCGTCGAGCATGATGTCTGTGATCGGAAGTGGGAAAGATGATGAAGAGTGGCCTTGCACTCTGCAACGAAGAACCTACCAGCTACGCGCCCTCTTGTAGCCGCTTACCGTATGACTCGTCTCTCTCTGTCTCAGCGGAGTTGAAAGCTTGCGAAGAAGGGGACATCACACCCAGTATGTGCTTACTGTGAGGTTGGAAAGGAGGAATTCTCGTATATCGTGGGAGAGAGGGATCCAGCACGTAACCTTCTGTTTCGAAGTTTCGGGACCCAAATTGGTTTTCGAAACAGTTCAAGGAAGCAGGATCTGGCTCTGTGGAGAAGTCAGGATTTTTTCTCACTTTAAGCTGGTGCTCTCTGGATTGGACGTCCTTCAGTGGCAGTCTCCTCATTAAAAAAGTTTGGGCAGCCCGGGATTCAATTTCTCGAATTAGGGTAACATGGCGGGGGGTAAGAATAGAGTGCGGTTTAGCAAGCTCTACACTTGGGCGGGATGTTTCAGGCCACAATCGCCGCTGGAGCGGCAGCAATCTATGTCCGTGGGGGGACCAGGTTTTTCCCGCGTCGTGTTTTGCAACAAATCGGAGATGCATTTGCAGAAACCATACCGGTACAAGAGCAATTATGTGTCCACTACCAAATACAATGCTGTAACCTTCCTCCCGAAGGCGCTATTTGAGCAATTTCGCCGTGTTGCCAACATGTACTTTCTTCTTGCAGCCATCTTGGCCCTTACTCCCGTTTCGCCCTACTCCGCTGCCAGTCTCATCGCGCCTCTTGTCTTTGTCGTTGGAGTCAGTATGTGCAAAGAAGCACTCGAAGATTGGCGTCGGTTTATACAGGTGAGGATCTTCCTATCTGCGCTTGGGGTTCCGAGTGCCCCGTTGATTGCTTTGTCTAAGACATTAGTTTCACTCACCTGCATCGAATCGGATAGGGGGATGTGTTAGTCAACCGATTGTTTCGATGCTAAGATGCCATTAGCGCCCATTTTTCTCCATCGCGCTCGCTGGCCAGCTTGAATATGAATTTCAACGTGTTCTCTGGAACAGTCACGGAGGAGCATTGATTCAAGCTCCATTTCTGGTTGTTTGCTCCTGTTGTGTTTTTGTGTAGTGTTTATTTATTTATGTTACAGCATCGCTGGTAGATACTCGGCTACATTGCGAGTTCTGAAGGGGGATCTTGTGAAGCAGATTTGCAAGATTGTTGAAGTTGAACGTAAATTATTGCATTTTGTATGAACTAAAGCATTACGGTTCTTTCTGTTTGTGTTTTCGGGGATACAGGATAACGAAATAAACAACAGGAAAGTGAAAATACACGTGGGAGGAGGAAAGTTCGAAGAGCGTGAATGGAAGAAAGTGAAGGTGGGAGATATTGTGAAGGTTGAAAAAGACAATTTCTTTCCAGCAGATCTTCTTATGCTCTCCTCAAGTTTTCCAGATGGCGTGTGCTACGTGGAAACCATGAATCTGGATGGTGAGACCAATTTGAAACTGAAGAAGTCCCTTGATCGTACTTACGAGCTAGACGGTGATGAAGAGTTTGAAAAATTTGAGGGTAAAATCCGCTGCGAGGATCCCAATTCTAGCTTGTACACCTTTGTTGGAAATTTGGAGTATGGTGGAGACGTACTGCCACTGGGTCCACAACAAATTTTGTTGCGAGACTCTAAGCTTCGTAATACGCCATTTATCTATGGGGTTGTGATATTCAGTGGTCATGAAACGAAGGTTATGCAGAATGCCACTGATCCACCTTCCAAACGGAGTCGAATTGAGCGGAAAATGGACAAGATTATCTATCTCCTTTTTCTCGTTCTTTTGTTTATATCCGTAGTTGGATCCATTGCATTTGCCGCCAGAACAAAGTTCGACATGCCAAATTGGTGGTATTTGCAGCCTGATAATACTACAATGTATTACGACCCTAATCAAGCAGTGCTATCTGGGTTATTGCACTTGATTACAGCTTTGATCCTCTACGGGTACCTGATTCCAATATCTTTGTATGTCTCCATCGAACTTGTGAAGGTCTTGCAGGCCCGGTTTATCAACAACGATATTCAGATGTACCATCGGGATACCGATCAGCCAGCTCGGGCTCGCACATCGAATCTTAACGAGGAACTTGGTCAAATTGACACCATTCTTTCTGACAAGACCGGAACACTCACGTGCAACCAAATGGAGTTTATCAAATGTTCAATTGCAGGTACTGCTTACGGTCGTGGTGTAACAGAAGTGGAAAAGGCAACTGCTCGGAGGCTGGGTAAAGATCCCCGCCAACTTGAAGACGCTAGTATCACTGAAGATAGGGAGAGCAGTAGCATCGGCGGCGAAGGCTCCGACGTTGAAATGAGACCCATGTCGTCGAACTCACATGTGAAGGGTTACAACTTGAAGGATGAGAGGCTTCAGGATGGGAACTGGATGCATCAACCAAATGCAGAGGAAATACGAATGTTCCTCAGGATTCTTGCAGTATGCCACACTGCAATTCCTGAAGTGGATGACGCAACAGGAACTATAACATATGAGGCAGAATCACCTGATGAGGCTTCCTTTGTGGTAGCAGCAAGGGAACTTGGATTTGAATTTTTGAAACGTAATCAAAACAGTGTGATTGTAAAGGAGCCCGGACCCAACGGAGTTCCAATGGAGCGGTAAGGGCTGTCACAGCATTGAGTTTTGTGAATTTCTCCGTTTCAACTCTCATTTTGTTAAGTAATCCATTTCACCCTTGTTTGTTACATTTATATGCATTTGGAAGGATATATTGTTTTCTTTACCCACAGAAAGCATCTGATATTAACACTGAACTGCAGGGAGTACAAAATCCTTAATCTGCTGGAGTTCAACAGCACACGCAAGCGGATGTCCGTTGTTGTGAAGGATGAATCTGGTCAGATTATTCTTATGTGCAAGGGTGCTGATAGGTACAGTTACTATTATCTGATAATGTTTCCATAGCTCTTCAAACAAAACTTATGAGTAATTTATTCAAATATTCTTCTAATAATTTTAAAGAATTATTTTCTGTTTTTATTTTATCGCTTCAAGTCGATCAGAGTCTCGACTTTTAATTGTTTTGTGCAACTTTATCGCATTTGAAGTTATTTTATGTAGTTAACAGACACAATCCGAAATCTGCGGACCAGAAATACAATAACTGAGATGATTTAGCGGGTTTTGCATCTCAGCATAGCGAGTAGGGACATCCAACCTCTGTATCTCACAAGAGCCTGGCATGTTGTCTACTGGAGGAGATTTCTTGACTTTTTTGAAGTTCTCAGAGTAGGTAGTTGCCTTATGATTTTTCTCTGGACTGACAGACTCTTCCTCTTTTTGGGACCCACAGTATTATTTATGATAGACTAGGAAGGAACGGGAAACAATATTGGAATGCAACCAAAGCTCATTTGGCGAAATATGGTGATGCTGGGTTGCGTACTTTGGCTATATCCTACCGCGTATTGGAGGAGTCTGAATATGAACAATGGAATGCAACATTTACGAAGGCCAAAACTACCATTGGCTCAGATCGTGATGAATTGCTAGACAAGGCCTCGGATCTAATAGAGAGGGATCTTTTTCTTGTTGGGGCTACGGCTGTCGAGGACAAATTGCAGCAAGGGGTGCGTGTCAAGTGACTTCGTCTGCATGAGTAGTGTCAGAGCTATGTGATATGTCTTCAAGCATTGTGTTTTATGACTGATAAATGTAGCTTGAGATCATGTATTTTCTTATCCCTCATTCTCAATAGAAGGTGCTCATACGTCTGCACCGATTCATGTCTTTTTGCAGGTTCCGGAATGTATTGACAGACTTGCGCAGGCGGGCCTTAAGATCTGGGTCCTAACTGGAGACAAGCAAGAGACTGCTATTAACATTGGGTGAGTTATTTTAGGCCGACATTAGCTTTTGGAAATGTGAGTTTGTGTTAATTAATGATTTTGTCTATTTAAAACTTTTCCCCATTAATATGATTCGAAAAATAATTAAAGTACGAATTCAAATAGGCGTATGAAGGACATTGAAATGGTGAATCTTATTGACCTGTTTGCAATTTGGTGTTGATTTGTGTATGCAGGTTTGCATGCAGCTTATTGCGGCAAGGAATGCATCAGATTATTGTAGGTCTTGAAACACCTGAAATGAGGGCTATTGAGGAAAACGGAGATAAGAATCAGATAGCGAAAGCTGCAAGAGATAGTATAACTTCGCAAATAGAAGCAGGAAATCAACAGATAAAGTTGGATACTGAAGATGACAATCCTCATGCTTTGATCATTGATGGCAAGTCTCTGATGTATGCGCTTGAAGACGGTTTAAAGCAGGAGCTGCTCAAGCTTGCAACCCAATGTGCATCTGTTATTTGCTGCCGGGTGTCTCCAAAGCAGAAGGCTATGGTATACACCTCTTTGTGCAATCTAGTGATACATTATGACCGTGAATGCTTGTTGCTGCATCTTGTTAAACTCTGTTATTGGTCTAGTTCCGTATGGGTATATTTTTATTCAGAACAGTCTTCTTTACATGTAGTTTCTCAGCTCTCTAATTTGTTGTAGAATTATATGTATAACCTTGAATCTAGTGCCATCTAGTGATACTCAAAGTATTTGCAGATAACCAAGCTTGTGAAGGAAGGAACAGGGAAAGCAACTCTCGGAATTGGAGATGGTGCCAACGATGTTGGCATGATCCAAGAGGCTGATATAGGTGTTGGTATTAGTGGGGTTGAAGGCATGCAGGTCAGTATCTGATGTCGATTCAACTGCCATCTTACCGTCATTTTACTGGGAATAGCTTATCTGTATGTGCAAGTCGCCGCGCCTAACAATTTTATTTTGTGTTCGTGGGTATTTCAGGCAGTCATGGCCAGTGATTTTTCGATTGCACAGTTTAAGTTTTTAGAGCGTCTGCTCATCGTACATGGGCATTGGTGCTACAAGCGTATTGCTCTTATGGTATGAATTCTGGTCGCATGCTTCGATCGATTTCCTGCCGCACGTAAAATTTTGTGTTTGCCAAAATTGGCGCTTCATGTTCAAATCATTTTGGTGCTCATTATCTTATTACAAGCTATGTTTATATTGGCCGTTATTGGTAGGATATATAGTGAACTAAGGTGTATGCTGAGGTTATTTGGTTGATGTGAGATTGTACTTGAATTGACTCGTACCTTTTCTCATATAATTCTTGCCAATTTTTCTTGCAGATTGTTTACTTCTTCTACAAAAACATCACATTCGGTCTTACTCTCTTTTATTATGAGGCGTTTACAACCTTTTCTGGGCAAACTGCCTACAATGATTGGTATACTTCACTTTTTAATGTGTTCTTCACATCTCTACCGGTAATCGCTTTGGGCGTGTTTGAACAGGACGTTTCCTCGCGAGTCTGTTTGCAGGTATTAAGTCTTTTCCTTCCATTCGTCACATCTGTTTTTTGTGTTAGTACACTAAATTGTGATTATTGTAACTTGTTCTGCCTGATTCATCAGAGTTTAGTAGAACGCCCTTTTTCTCTAATGCAATAGCAGTTGAACAGTTTGACTGGTTCTGTCAGCTCTGAGGTTGTTTGCTTGTGCAAATAACAAATTGCAGGATGCCATGAATTCATCTTCATTTTTAATTTTTTGTTTCTGTTGTGTGATCGTGTTGCTGTAGTTCCCAGCTCTATATCAGCAAGGTCCTAAGAATATGTTTTTCACGTGGAGCCGTATTCTGGGATGGATGGCCAACGGAGTCTATAGCTCCGTCGTGGCTTTCTTCTTCACCACGGCAGCATTCGAGATCGAAGCCTACAGGAACGACGGGCAGCTTGCAGGGATTGAGGAACTCGGAGCCGCCATGTATACGTGCGTGGTTTGGGTCGTCAATGTACAAGTTGCAATGGCATTGAGCTACTTCACATGGATCCAGCATGTCTTCATCTGGGGCAGCATTGCACTGTGGTACCTTTTCGTGGTAGTGTATGGAAGCATCAATCCCACCCTTTCTACCACAGCGTACAAGGTGTTTGTAGAAACACTGGTGAACTCTCCCATGTACTGGTTCATCACCATTCTTGTTCCGATCGCATGCGTCCTGCCTTACGCCGTCTATCAGGGCTACCAGCGCATGTTCCACCCGATGGACCACCACTTGATTCAGGAAATTCATTACCTTCAGAAGCACATCACCGATCCCGACATGTACAAGCAGGAAAGGACCAAGGCGGTGCAGAAGACGCACCAAGGATTTTCATCTCGAGTTAAGGCGAGCATGACCATGCAGGAAACGAAACAGCGATTCTATGGAGACGGCCACTTGCAGGGGACTTCCGAGAAGAATGACTCCCTGCCGAGGCATGTGGACAGTCTGCTCGAGAGTCCCCTTATCAACGGGGACAAGGCTCCGCATAATAATTTTGCGTTTAGGGTTTAATTATGTAGAGGAATCTTAGTCGCAAGTCTTCCTTGCTTTCTTTCCCTCAAAACGAGACTTAAATTTTGTTGTTAATATTTCTATTGCAGCTCATGAACCCCCTAAACCTAGCTAAGTAAGCCTTGTCCCCATTGTACAATAGTTGAATGATTCCGCATTGATGAGTACCTTAGATGTATTGGCAGTGTATTTTTACACTTAGACTGCCTTGAATTCCCCAAGTAACCTAATTCTTTGAATAAGAAGAGTTGAATGATATTGTGCCCAGCAGTCAGGCTGCTGCCGTATTGCAAACACCCAACCACTCGCCTCTTCTGTGCATGTTTTCTGACAAAGTTTTTGTACTTATGTGGTGATCACCCATCTTTCTGTCCGCACGTCTGTGTCTGTATTCTTCTTTTGTTTATTTTATTCGTAGGTCTCATGGGCTAGAAAGAAGCTGGGTCAGACCCACCTCATCACTGGATCTCAAACCACACCGAGATTTCTTCTCCAGATTCCCCAATGGCAACCATTGAGTATTTCATCATCCACGAGCTCATGGGGCAATTATTTTAAGGTGCTCATGCTCTTATTCTCGCCTCTTATATCCTTGTTTTCACCGTGCAGCTACTCTCCATCTTTTGGTGCCGGATTATGTCCTGGAAATATGCTCGGATACTGGAATGCCAGGGTGCCAATGTAGAATGAATGCCACACATTATGTAACATCTAAATATAGATACCGTTGTTTTTGATTGCAAGCAACGTGTGCATTTCTCATGTCCCCTAGTTCTTTAATACATGATCATGTGGAAGCTAACTTTAAGATAATGACATGGAAGTCAATAAAAAATCACTTTTATGAATCAACCAGGATAAATTTTTTTCTTGAATTGCACAACATGCATGATGCTTGTCATCGGAAGTCACAACTGTAGATTTTTCTGTTGCCATTCTCACCCATTGTGATTGTTGTTCAGCAACAAGTGGTAAACATCACTTCTATAGAAATTAGTGAGCGCTCCTCCATTTTAATGGATGACTGAATGAAGGGATGACTGTACAGAAAAACTATTTACGTAGGTTAAATAAATAAACCAATCTATCGACAAACAAAATTAAATACATCCTTGTGGGTCATATCTGGTTTTCTCCTCTTCAATAGTATATTAACAGTTTAAACACATGTTTTCTTTTAATGCTCAGTTTATTGGCTATGGCAATTATGGAATTTCCAAAAACATCTAAGTAGATGATACTTTTTCAATTGGTTTTTGCTGCAAAATTAATTCCAACAGACAAAAATAAGTAAGGAAAATGACGTAAAATAAATTAATAGCATGATGAGTTTTATACATAAATTTTGGGTTTCTATAACTTGTTATTTTTGTAATTCTTTGAATTTGAAAACAATCTAAACATCTTGAACATTAAAATGTTGCCTTTTGTACTAGTCTACACATGAGCATTAAAATATAGTTATCTAGAATCATTATTATAAGACATCTTAAAAGATGAATGTAGTGGTTGAAAAAGGAAAATAAATATAAATATATACATATATATATACACACACATGTTGCTCTTCCTAAATCTAATATTACGACATATATTATAAGACAGACAACACAAGCACACTCATTCACAACAAGGAAAGAGATACAAAAATTACATAATTAAAACAAAACATATAAGTATATGAATATATTTATATGTACTTAAAAAGTGTGAAAATTTGCAAATGTATATTTGAACCATAATTAAAAATGTGAATATAGACAAAGCTTTATGAAAGATCTCATGCACTCAACCAAATACTTGATTTTTAAGAATTATAAGGATAAGTCAATAACATAAATTGTGCATGGGATGTCATAAAATTATTTAAATTTACAAAAAAAGTTATTATTTTTTAAAATTTAAATATTGTTAAGTTTCCAGTTCTGACACTCATTTACTAATGAAATTCGCATCTGATTGCTGATCTTATGATATAGCTTTAGCATATTATGAATTTATTACAGATATTCTCCAATACATCAACTCAATTATCTATACTCATGTTTGATGCATAATCTCATTTGCAAAACCTAGTTTTGATTTAATATATATATATATATATATATATATATATTCGAAAGCTTTTAAAGTTATAAATATTAACCAACATGGTGTGTAGCAAATCTATTTCCTTACATTCTTATACAATTAACACTTTTACACTTATAGTAAAATTTATTCATTTGATTTTTATAACCGTAGATATATAAATAAAATTTATAGTCTCTCACAAATAATGCATTACCAAATTGGTGAATCCAAAGGCTGTTATACTAGAATATATGTACATTATTGTACAATATATATACTGTTAATTTCTTTAATTTTGCACATTCAATGATGACCTTTGAAAAGTAGTTTAAGATTGAAGAAAGTAGTTTAAGATTAAAGAAATTGAAGAATATGGTAATCATGATGAATGAGGTTGGTTTTTATTGGTTATAGATCCAATAGTAGTAAAATAAATCCATGAATCATTGCTATTAGTAGTATTTTTCATAATAGTTAGATTGATTTTGTAAAAAATTGGCTCTGTATAAAATTCCCCTATATCTATATTTATATGTATATATATACACACACATTTGTAAATTAATATCTTTACACTTGTAAAATAATAAAGGCAAATTGATATGGACATCCCACTCCTCACGAAGCTACGCGGTTACAGAACTAGGTGGTGATGGGACCCAAGCAGGTATAGGACTCGGTTGACAATAGGATGCAGACGGTTATGGGACTCGCACGGTTACGGGAGCTCGGGGATGTTCGAGGAGAAGCTGTGACGGCGTGAGGAGGGGGATGGGGTCGCGCAGCTAGTGCTGCGATCTGGCCACGACGTCGACGACGAGAATGTTTTCCAAGGCACATCAACGTGGAGGAGTGGGAGGAAGAAGTGCTCAATGGGACCCACAAGTACAAATTCCTAATTAAGGCTCACACGATTCGGGTCTTCCGCCCGAGGCTCTCTCTCGGCGAGACTGCTTTTAGCAAAGGTTCGCCTGTCTGGCTCTGCGCGCGTTGCGAGCCAGCGGGGGTATAATTTTGTCTCGCACGTGATTTTATTGTTTTTCCCGCTGAATCGCGCCCCCTTGAGTCTATCACACATGGATCGGTTACCAGTTTGGGTGTCGGGTTCCCTTTCTTCATGTAACCGATGCCCATTGTCACTCCGTGACAGTCTGGTGGCCTTTTCGTTTCGGGCTCCAGCCCCGGAGACGGATCTCATCGGCAGCGGTAAGCCTGTGGAAACAGAAGAAGAAGAGACGAAGCAAGCAGCAGACGCAGACGATGAAGAAGGACAGGCGGGTTGGCATTCTACTCGGAGTGGTCGTAGCTGGGAGACGCCAGCGGTACTATCTGGATTTGGAGCTCGCAATACAGCTTCGTTTTTGCCTATAGCACTTGAAGCGGGTCACTGGACTGCGGCCGTTGAGATTATCCTTTGGCAGCTGGTGGCCTTGCAGCGGTGGAGAAACAAACAGGTTTTCATTTTATTTGTCGAAGTATATTAAAGCTGCAAATGGTTTTCTGAGCTGCAGCACAACGTCGCTTGGAACTTGCTGGTACCGTTTGCAGGAAGCGCTGTACTGGGGTGCGGCGGGATGAGCAGGTGGGATGTCGTATAGGTCGTTGCGTGAATAACTGAGTGAATATGGATGAGAGGACCAGCTCAGAGATCGTTCGGCGAAGGCACGGGAAAGAATCTAATTTAGCAGACCTTGGATGTCTGAAAGGTTTTGTTGTTTGTATTTATTTATTTATTTGTATAGTTTTTATTTTTCTGTTCTCAGTTTTTATTTTTTTCTACAAATTCATGTCAGATGATCCATCCTCCCGTGATCGCTAGATCGTCTAATCTCATCGATTCGAACTGAACCAAGTGTTAGGCTGGCAACGTTCAATTAGTTCGTGAACATAGACAATCACATCAGAAGTGTCATGGGGTGATATCTATTGCTGCCAAATACTTGCTCATTTAGTCCAAATGTTCTCGTGAGGAGCAATTCCCTTCTTTCTTCGACGCACCCAGCCGCTGTGATATACCAATTTCAAGAATTGCCAGTCTTCCAGCCGGAATACAAGTTTAGAAGGCACTGGACTGGCCATGAGTTCAGTACTTCGATGGCAGAATATATAATATTGAAGGTTATGTATCCGTGACGCAGAGACAGATAAATTGAGTACTCACTTTTGGTCCTACGAAGGAACTGAAGAGGCTGCACTTTGAGTATGCTTTCGCCAACCATGAATCCTCGAAGTGGTGGAGTCGACACCCATGCAGAGAATCTTCTGCTGGAGCGGCTTGGAATTTTGGTGGACCGTTTGAACTGGTCGTATGGTGTCATCTGGACGCTCAATCCTCGAACAAGGTCATTGCGATTCCTATCTCTATTACTTGATTGTTACCATGGTGGTTATGCTTGATGCCGTCGTAGAAATGAAAATTCAACAGCTGCGAAAAATTCTAACGTGTGATTGCAGAAAGCACATGTATCTGCATGCATGTTCTATCAAAGTGCAGACCACTTGCCATGAATTGAATTGGAACGTTTTGGAACATATAGGCTTAATGCCGTGGCTCACGTTTGAAAGGAATGAAAAACTTGTTTCTGCTCTTGACTTCGAATTCTGCAAGTGACCTTATTCAAAAGATGAATTTAAGTGTGGAATTGGCTTTTCAATGAATGAATCCACTGAGGAATCTATTTGATCTTGTGGGGTCATTCGAAAGCTCGACCCCCGCTGGATATTAAAACTGAGAGGTTGTCGTTCTTGACAGTCACATGAAGATATATATATATATATATATATATTTTTTTTCCTGTGGTATTTTCTGTGGAAAATGCAGCGGCAGGCACGGATCTTTGTACTCCATGTATCAAACGAGAATCATGGTTTTATTTTCTTAGTCTCATGTTCTAGATTTCCGCCAAAGATGTGACACAAACTGGACAGATATCAATGTATTGTCGTGGATTCAGGGTCCTCGACTGGACGAGGGGATACTTTCAGGTTAACACGCAGGTTGGGACAGCGTCAAGTGCTCCGAGGAGTAATTGGGATGCACAGCTCTTCTACACAACATACAAGTCTTGCTCTTTCGCTCCTGGCAACGGGTAATCTCCTTTCTTGATGCGAATCAATTAGTTTGCAGAATCTAATATCTTCATCCTCTAGAGTGTACACTGCAAAGTTACATGGTGATAATTTAGTTTTTTTTTAGTAATGGTTGAATATTGCACTGTAAATATATCATCCAGGCCTGTCAACTTGAGGTATCTATCATATGATGAATCTCGTGTAGTGATACATGACGTGAGTATCGTGCAGTGCCAGACAAGAGGTGCAGGAATACCGGACCGAAATGACACTGAAGATTGACTCCTAGATTGTGTCATTTAGACTATGTCATGAATTGAATGACAGAATCGAGTCCTTGTCCACATCTCCATCTGCACCATTCGTATTAAATTTCCTGTCTCGATAAATTGCTGGTGGATCTGTGTTGAGTTCCCAGCACTTAAATCATTTATTCAAGGGTTAGGAGTGCGTTGCATCATATGGCTCGTGCATCCATTCAATCTAATAGTTTAAACAGAAGTGAAGTATGACCATCACAGTTTCAAATTGGATGCAGAGCTGTTGGAAGAGCAAGTGTAGATGGCAGACGTTTCTGGTTAACTGGTGACTCAGTTGGTCAGAATGCGGGTACGATGGAGCAATCGCAGTTCCTGAGATGCGCCAAAATCAATGTAAGTGTTGGATTGTGTTTGAGGCTATTCATTCATAGAAAAGCCCTCATGCCGCTTCGTTTATGTACAGTCTACAGAGTTTAGCGCACTTCGCATGAATAGCGCCACGGTATGTTTCAAGTCATTACATATGTACTAGACAACCAGGTTACCAATTTTTGTATCAAACTTGAGTTCTGATAGATTTCTAGCGTGGTCCTAATTGCTGGACTCGTGCGCAGACTATGATATGCATTCCATGCATCGACTCTGTCCTCGAAATGGGCACGCACATTCATGTAAGCAGATTTTTATCTTTGCTCTTCACTGTTTTAGCTCTTTGCAGTCGAATTTTAGAATTTTACAATCCTTCCATTCGTATCGAGGCCACCCTGCTTGCAACTCCATGATCTCTTATGATCTCAACTGAGCAGTTCTGAAAAAATATATATCTTACATCTAAGAGTTCAGTGATGCTGGAGTTTCAATCAGAAGTGATCCATTCCACACAATGTTCCGAGACCTTCAGTGGATCTGGTCATATATTCTTGCAGAATAGGAAAGGCACGTGCCCTGTCCTAGTGGAATCTTTAAAGCAGTAATTAATACTTGCAATTTAGTCCATTTTTCCGTTTCAGAGCCGGTTTTATTGATGCACTCACGAGGAGCAGCAAAATTATCCTAAAATCATGTTGTTTTGCCAGCTGCGACGAACTAATGGACTTGTAACTTATGTCCAAGGAGCTTTACAGGTCCATTAGTTCGTCGCAGCTTTGTAGCATATGGCTGAGAACAGAGTTTGAAATGAGACAGCATTCGTTACGGAGATTTGAACCGAAAAGTGGCCTTCCATCCTTCTTTTTATACCCGAAATTTGAGGGTGTAATCAATTGGGTACACTCAAATGCTTCCCCAAGTAGGAACCCCGCGACCTTTACTTGCTCATACCGACTTTATAAACTATAATTGTAACCTCGAGTTTGTCTTTGAGCGATAACGTGCCCACCATATGGATTATATTAGTTATAATATATTAAACAGGGCTCTTATTCACAGCCCCTAGTGGAAGAATATTAATGAGGTTCACATCTTTTCAGAAGTTGACCCTGATTTGGTGTTTCCTCGCATGTGTAGATTTCTCCGTTCACTTCTGGTTCATAGGTCGCTAAAGTTAGCATTGTTTGTTGTCGCGCAGTAGATTCTGGTGCTGCTAATGCGCCCTGATTGGGACGCACTCTTGGGAACTTGAGTGCTATGCCAGTGAGGTATACACTAGTCTAGGGTTTTGGTTTCATGTCAACCGTCGCAAGTTTAGTTTCAGGAAGGTCGACTGTTCTCCTCGATTGCTGCCACTTGGATCCGCTACTGAAAGCTCGCGATTGTTTCAGTCTTGTCTTGACGTCGTGTTGCGTGGAATGATGTCGATTTGCTCTTCGGACTGAATGTGGTCGCTGAAGAACTCTTGTTTGTGAATAATATGGTAGTAGCTCTCCTTCAATTCACTAAACGGTCGGAGTAGGCGGACATAGATTTGATGTACCAGCAAGAATTATGAGCCTACCGACTGCCGGTATAGAATCGTGCGACCGTTGCAATGTTGCTGTTTCCGAGGAAGCAACTCTCGCACACTGTCGCAAACTCTCTGACAGTTTAAGAATTAGAAAGATTTAGATTATCCAAAGATTAGTGGTGCACGGTGGTGGAAGTTGAACTGTTTTCCAATATCTATTATTTAACGTGAATTGTTCAGTGCCGTTTGAGTTGCTCGAGAACATTTATGCTGCTTGTGATAACTTTATGAATCACTTTTGATGGTATCACTTTAATACTAATGGCTGGCTACGCCTGGGGTTGAGTGCATGATGTGTAGGTGCGAGAGAACTTTCAGGTAATGGACCAGATTCATGAAGTGCTGTCCAACGACCTCCTGGGTGTGCTGCCGCTACAGCACACAACGTCTGAGCATGCATGTTCCTGGGATACTTTAATGTTCCAAGCTGATTCTCATCTCGGTTTTCATCAGGATTCGGCAGCAAATAATCCTTCAAGTTTGGCATTACAACAGCCTTCTTCTGAGATGATGTCTCGGAGCATTTCAGAAATGTCTCTCCGATTTTCAGAAGATCTCAACCGACCTTTTCAGTCCGAGTTTAACCTGTCAGACCAAGTGTGGAGGTAAGCGTTCCATCCTCAGCACTTGATTGCAAAGTACCTTAAAGCTGCAAAAGCTCTTTTCTCTTATTGAGAGCTGTATCTCTAGGTTTGGCCAAGTGGTGCTCATCTATACCGTAACCTGTTTCTTGGGGCTGTCCCAGGTCGGCTATCAGCTCAAACTTGAGCCTAAATTCGGACATTTTCATGCATGGTCAGCAAGATACTCAACTAGATTCCGCCATCGATAAGGTCACAACTGAGAATTTATCCACGTTGCACAGTCACGGAGGAACGCCTTCCACGTTCCTGATGCCCAACCCTAATGCACCATCCAATCCGGCGCATGCCGAGGCTGATTTCCATGTCAGTCAGCAAGTCAACCAGAGGATCATGACACAATCTGCCAGCCATGGGTTGATGGTTTCGCAAGCGGATCGATATCGTCCTTGGTCGGGTGCTGCGACTTCCTCCAGCGTGAGCAGCCAAGGGGATTCGTCTGCAAGACTCTCGGCTTCTCCTGAACCGCAGCAGCCACAAATCCATCACAATCCCCTCCCCAACTCACAAAATTCTACCCTGGACAGGTACTGTGGTCTTGAAGGATCAAAGCGATATTCCTTACCCCAACTCCCTTGATGGCTGCCACCGTCAGATCCCCAATACTGTGTGAAGCTTTGCTTCAGACATTTTTCTCTTGTGTGCTCATTACTATTAATCATCGGTTGAGAATGATATTCATATAGAACTTTTTCACCTCAATTTAATTTTCTTTGAAGTTTGTTAAACATTTCTACTTCTGCCGGTTGTTCTTGAAATGAATAATTCAGTCATGATACCCTCAGTTGAACACTGAAAATGAAGTGCCGTGAGTGTTGGAGTGTTTGTTCATTTCTTACAACGAGGTGCTCGCAGACTGGATTACTATTATTGAATACTGGCCTTTCCTATTTTTATTTTTACTTTGTAGCTAACTTAGTTTCTTGTAAATATTGTGTGAGATAACATCAGAACGTCATCCTCAGGCACTCTGCGGTCCCTGTTGAACCAAAACTTGAGGCGCACAACTTCTTGTGGCGATCAATATGAAATCCAGAAAGCATTCAGCTTGTTTGAAGCTCAGGAAATGCAAGAGCATTGGCGACAACAAGCAGGCCAACAACCTGAACTTGCAGGGGCCCAAGCTGCCACCATGAACGACAAGGTGACCGCCCTAAAAGTGAGTCTCTTCTCTATGGCGCAGCATTTCAGAGATCCTCCTCCACAATATAAATTTTCTAATCCTCTAAAATTTCCCGTTCCATTCATGGCAGCATGATCCAGGTAGCTTGCAAAGGAGTACCGATGACCCTCCGAATCTGCTTAAGCGTAGCAGCAACGTTAGTCTCGTCAATCAGGTTTCTAAAGTTGCCGGGGTACTGCTACGGAGAAAATCCTTGTCTGCGCTGGAAGTGCTCAAAGCGGTCGATACGTATCACCGAGAGACAGCCGATAAGTCGTTGAATCTAGTTCAAAATATAGAGGAGGAGCCTACCGGACTTGCTACCACTGTCACGGAGGTATAGTACATGGACATGCGGAATTCATTTTATCAAGCTCGTTCACTTCTACTCTCCTATCTGGTCACATTTAGTTGATCAAGTCCTTTCGTGTCAGAATATAGTGCAATAAACTGAAAGCTTAATTTCTGACTAACCACAACGCAGAATATTACACCCAATTTGAGGGGTCGAAGAAGGTGGGGAATGGAGCATGCAAGTAGCAGTCGTGGTCAAGGCCCAATACATGTTGGTCATGACGAAGCTGCTGTCAACCATATGATGGCTGAAAGACGCCGGAGAATGAAGCAGAAGGAAAATTTCACTGCGTTGAGAAGACTGGTTCCTACAATTTCGAAGGTGCGAAATCCAACATATGACTAGCTCCCCTTCCGGGGTACAAAACATCAAAACTCATACCAGGCTCATGTTACCAATTCTTTGTAGCTAGGCTGATGAAGTTGTTCATGATGTAAGTTTGGTCCTTGTGTATTTACCGCAGGCCGATAAGGCATCCACCTTAATCGACGCAATCACCTATCTCAAGGACTTGCAGAACAAGATCCAAGAGATGAAGGCAAGCAAGGAAGACATCAACCAACGGTGCGAGACGCTGGAAAACAAGTGCAGGGAACTGGAGGATCGGAACCAACAGCTGGTCGCCATGCTGTCCATTAACCACCCAAGCAGTTCAAACCAACTCGATACACTGAAATCCGAACTGCTCCAGTCATTTTTTCCGTCTGAGCTAAAAACCTCCAAGGCCGCAGGCAATCCAACTTATTCCATCAGCAGCGACTACCACATGTAGTTCCAGGGAGCGTCCAGAACAAGCCCTGCCGCGAACGCCTTCTCTCCGTCCATCAAGGATCCAGAAATTTGCACACATCCTGGCAACGAAACACGAGTTACACTTACACCCAATCTGTCTTTTGCCCTTCACCGTCACCGCTACCGACTCCGATGTTTCGCACCTGATCCACCGCCACCGGGTTCGGCGTTGATCTTTATACAGCCAAAACCTGTACCGCCTCATACCTGTCTCCACACATTCCGTTCCGCCCCACAACTTGTACATACACAACCTCATCCGACCTCCAGTTTCTGTCATCGAAAACCGGGTCATCGGTTCGTCAAGACACTGTCTGATTCACCGTGTTTGTGAGTCTAGACTGGGGTTCTGGGGGAGTATAATACCAACAATTAGATCCCCATGACACTGACCCGATGTAGCAAACTCTATTCAACTTAGTGTCCAGTTGTCGAATCTGCTTGTGGATCGGATGCATCGGCACCGACTCCGATGCTGATCATGCCCGGCCTGTTATCCGGGTTTCCCATCAGAAACTGGCAACATCGATTCGCCGCCTAATTCATTGCGATCATGCTCTTGAGCATTCTTTCTCTCGATGTGGGTTCGAATCATGCGTGATTGACTCGTTGTGGCTCTTCTTTTCAAGGCTAGTTTTCGGTGTGCCCGGGTTCAGTTTGTGGGGCTGGCACAACATTGTACTGTTGACAGATCGCACAAAACATGCATGAAAAATTAAAAAAACAGCTGAAATTTTAATTATATTCGAATATGCCCCTTCCAATGTAAACGTGCTTTTAAAACATGATTCTGTGCATGACAAGTCGATGCGTGTACTTTCTTTTTTCCTTTTCCTTTCTTATCATGTGTCAATAATGAGTAAATCTAAGTTATGATGAATATTTTTGATTTTAACTATTTTTTTTTCGATTTTACGTAAGTCATATGTCAATAAAGACTATTGCAATCTTATAACTAGTCTAAATTAAAATTGTACTTAGTATACCCTGCAAGATTATGACATATTAAGAACTGCTAGTCTTTATCTTACATGCATCTTTGTTCTTTTATCAATTAGTTTTTATGCTATCCATCATTTATCCTACCTTTTTAGGAATCACTTCACTTGATTTGGTTGTTGTCTTATTTTCTCATCAATAATTTTCTATTGGATTACATTGTATGTGATTTGGTTTTTTTCATATTTGTTTTTATATGTATTTATTTGAGCTTTTGATTTGGTCATTGTAGGTATGTATCTTATTAATTGTTGCACATTAAAGATTCCTAGTCATAGTACTATAGTTATCCATGAAAATAATAAAGTATGTGTATTTCTTTAGGCTACATAATTCCAAGAAGTCTTTGCAATGTATAAACCAAGAGACTTTTGTTCTAAAAAGGTTTTGAAAGTTTTGCTATAAAATATTTGTCATTATTGTTCTAAATGTATATACAATCTTTACTAATCTTACCAAATAGGAAAATTAAAAAAAGAAAAGAAAATAACAAATATATTATTGGCAATGATTGATCTACTTATAACATTTGATTTTGTAAAAGACAAATAATTTAGTTTTTTTTCTAATTTTTTTTTATAAGAGATTGATTAATATTTTGTGTACAGATTAAAAAACAAAGAGAAATATTCAATACTTTATTAATTTTTGTATAAGATACCTATGTCTATTTAAGCTTATTTTTTTATTTAGGATTTTTAGATTTTTAATATACAACTAATTCATTTGAATAAATATATATATATATATATATATATATATAATTAAAAAGCTTAACAAAATGAGTTAAGAATTTTGACTACAATAGTAAGATTTTCTTCATCTCTTTCAATTGTAAATATAGAGTCATTGATATATTGACTGAAAATTTATTGATTAAGCCTTTAAGGAATGTTTATATTGTAAATGTGAATTTTTTTTATAGGTTTTTAAATATAGTATTTAAAAATTTTATATAATAAAAAATAAATGGAAAGCTAAAGAAGATCTATATTTCATTTTTTTATGAATAGAAAATTTATCTATTTAAATTCTATGTATGTAAATTGTTGCTTCCATACCTTTGAATGTTTTTGGATTTAACTTTTATATAGATTCTTTATTTTTTCCAAAATGGTAAATCATGAGCAAGTATAAGGATATAATTCATCATTTAATACAAATTACAAGATGGTTTCAATTAAGAATTGCTTGTATTTGGTGGTATAAAAGGAGGGATACAATTAATGAGAAACAAAGAAGAATAAGTACAAAATAAGTAAAAGAAATGCAATCAAATAATTACACACTCCAAATAATAGTTACAATCTGTTCATTAGATTTTTATCCAATAAAAAAAAATAAAAAATAAAAAATATTTTTAGGTAGATACATTTTTTTAGACTTTTCAATGATGTAACAAAGATGTAAATCTAAGTTATCATGAATAAGTTATAAATATTTATAAATAAAAAGTAAAAAAATAAAAATAAAATGAATAAGTTTTATAATAAGTATAACTTCTTTAAGTGATTAAGAATTTGAGGGTCACAAAGTTTCAATAATATATATATATATATATATATATATGAGTATCTCAAAGAGGCCAGAAGTCCTTAGTCATATATTCCTACCTACATCTAAAGGGCCACAATCCATATGAGACATGTATACCTTCTTTCCTACAACTATAACATTAGCTGTTAGTCTACCTACTTTTTACTAGTAAAGTTTTTTTTTTTTTTTTTTTTTTTTTTTTTTTCCATTTTTGTCTTCACAATGGTATTCAAAAACACCCACACAGTCCAAAAACTTTACAAGACTTTCAAATATTACTCAAATTCTTCATAAAGGCCTCTCATAGTGATTTCTAATTTTTTATGGATGTTCCATGTAATGTAGGATAGAAATTGAAAATCTTAGTTATAAATATATTCATTTTATAATAATAATAATAAAAATAAATCTTATTAATCTTATTAATTTTTTAATCTAATTTTCTTATTATTTTATTATAGATCATAAATTAAAAGATTTATAATCTTTAATATATAAAAATATAGAGATAATTCTATATTCTACATCTAAAAATAAGTACATTATTATAAATTAAAAATGCACCACTACATCTTAAAAGTAGCAAAATATGGCTTAGAATAGTACTCATTGTATATAAATATTTTTTGAATATTATTTTTATTTATTTATTTTTATTATTATTATTATAATCTATTAATGGTATAATAAATCAAATAAATATTGAATATTAGTTAAGCCTAAAAACATGCACAATCTATTACAAAATATTATTAAGTACTTATTAAATATAAGTATATATGAAAATTTTAAATGTTTTAAATTGAAGAAAATTAATTAATAAGAATCAACTATAAGAAGAAACAAAAATTATATCTTTATTATAGGAATAGGCACTACATAGAGATCCTTACAAAGTGAATTTTTTGAAAAAAAGTATATAAAAAAAACATTCAAAAATACCTAAAAAAAATAAACCATGGCGTTCAAAGAATCACATTTAATTCTATCAATTTTTCAAAGAAAGTCCTAGATTAAACATCAATTCAATAAAAAAAAGAAAGAATTGCTTGCATTTATAATCATGAATTATGCTTAACAAACCATAACTATATCAATTTGTTGCATATAGAATGGTTATAATTACTAGTTTAAAAAATACAACAAACAACAAAATTTTAAGACTTATTTTAATTAAAGATAGCCACACAACAATTTATAAGCAATTACACAATTAAGTCAAATTTATACATGCTAAGATTAATTGAAAGAATATAGTAAGGCACATAAAGACATTTGATCCAATCTCTTTGAATCAAATCTAATTGAATACATTCAAATCTGTTGTGTAAAAAAAAGAAAACTTCAATCCATATATATTGTATAACAATCAACAACACAAGGAGAAATAATACTAGAAACTAGCCAAAAAACAACTAGGTGAGCAACACAATGAGAAATAATACTAGAAACTAGCCAAAAAACAACTAGGTGAGCAACACAATGAGAAATAATACTAGAAACTAGCCAAAAAACAACTAGGTGAGCAACACAATGAGAAATAATACTAGAAACTAGCCAAAAAACAACTAGGTGAGCAACACAATGAGAAATAATACTAGAAACTAGCCAAAAAACAACTAGGTGAGCAACACAATGAGAAATAATACTAGAAACTAGCCAAAAAACAACTAGGTGAGCAACACAATGAGAAATAATACTAGAAACTAGCCAAAAAACAACTAGGTGAGCAACACAATGAGAAATAATACTAGAAACTAGCCAAAAAACAACTAGGTGAGCAACACAATGAGAAATAATACTAGAAACTAGCCAAAAAACAACTAGGTGAGCAACACAATGAGAAATAATACTAGAAACTAGCCAAAAAACAACTAGGTGAGCAGTGCAATACATAATCAATCAACAACCACATAGCTTATATATTCTAAACCAATGGTGTCAACAATAACATGAAAGGGATGTTATAGACCTTCATCCAAATATCTAGTGGTATGAGCAATAATTAAAAAATTATTGCAAAAAATCATTGTTTGTATATTATATTCTATTAATAAATGAATACTAATTGCTATCATTTGTAGGCTTATATACAATAATGTCACCTGATAGCTTGTCACAAGAGGTCTTCCTCTTAGAATAATATAAAATAAATGTTATTGTGATAGTCCTACTAGTTTGGACAAAATTTATGGTGGTCTTTGTACTTTAGATAGATGACTAGGAAAATTGAACCGACTCAAAAACAAATAAAAAAATTAGATTATTCTTGCAAGATCTAATATCGTTTCTAGGAAATGCCACACAAGAAGAAACATATTCTTGTTTCCGTTGTAGACTCTTTTTGAGGTTTGTTTATTATCCATCTTCTTAATTGCTCCTTCTTGCTCTACTGCCATTTTACTACTGTCTTCTTAGCCTAGTTCAAACATTGTCTGACTTGGTTTATTTATACTTCTATCACCTTTAGTAGATCTTGATTATGGTCATAGAAAGATTTTGTCTGCGCATATGTGATAGTTTTATGCCTTTATAATTATTGAGATTTGATATTATTGTCAAAAAACTAAAGAATATCAGTAAATTATTAAACACTTATATTATATTGGTTAATTTTTTTTTATAAATTAAAAAAGCTTATATTATATATATATATATATATAATTCAATATCATGGAATAAAATGATTTTACTAAAAACCTTTAAAATAGTATAGAAAGAGTTTTTTTGAAAAAATGTAGAAAATTTAGATGTTTTAGAATCTAAAAATTAAAGTTTTATAGAAGAAATTATAGATATCATATTTAAAATATTAAATGGTTAGAATTAGATTTAAAAAGATATTTCATTTTTTAAATACTATTAAAAAAAATAAATTTATTTTAAATTTTAATGATGTTAAATAAAATCTTTTAATGAAAAAATAATATTACATATTAATATGGATTTTTAAGTATAATTTTAAAAATTATTGTTTAAAAAATATTTTTATATTTTAAAGTATTTTTCTAATTTAAAAATATATAATGTATATATATATATATATATAAATAGTATATATACATAATATTTTTATTTGATTTTTTTATTGATTTTAATAATTATAATATATATATAATTATCAAATATTAAATAATTTTTGAATATGATATTTTTATATAAGTTAAAAATTAAATTTTACATCAATTTTTTTTTATATGTCAAATA